ACAAATTGTTGAGATCAAAACCAGCTTCTTCGTCCTCCTTCTACACAAGAGACAGAAGCAGGAATTGGTTAAAATCTACAATTAGAAAAACAGAAACTATTAGTGCAGAACAAACACTCACCTCTCCCATTTCTATGAGGAAGGAGTCGATGTAGTCTCTTGGTGATGAGGGGTCGAGGGTTTCCTTGTGTTCTTTGATCTTGATTTGAATGAAGTCAATTAGGTTCTGTACCAGAGTGAACATCCTCTGATGAGGTCCAGGCAGCCGCTTCATCAGCCAGGGTGCTACATTGTAAATCTACAGAGCAGGAGGGCAGTTATGAAATCATCTAGCAGGCAGTAATGACATTTCTTTCTTGGTAATTTTTCAGTGGATGATGATGTACCGTGTTAACATTAGCTTCCAAATAGACATTCATATTACTGTATGTCCATGTGGTTCACTTATTTACCATTTTAAGAGCTGATAGCTTTTGGCCTATGTTTAATAAATAACAATACATGAATCACAGCTGTAGATTGTTTACCACGGAGACTCACCTGTGACCACACACTTCCCTGTAAATACACTATGTCATTGAATTTCTGAAGGATAGACTCATACTGCTCATCAGTGTACTCGAAGCGATGGCCAAACACCAAACAGCAGATGATGTTGGCCACAGCACTGTTTGTCAGTGACTGGGTATTAAAGGGCTTCCCTGCAAAATAAAGAGAAAATGTAGATAAGAAACAGAAGTTTAGACCTGTTCAAACCAGTCTCAAGGTTGAAAAATGATAAGCCCAATAAGAAATATAGAAAAATCATGAGAAGTAATGCATCACTGCAAAAAAAAGTGATCTATTGTACCTTGGTGGTCTGCAAAAGCCTCCGTGAGATATCGACACTCCTCCTGGATGAACAGCTCCAGAGTCTTCTTGCCCACACCAAAGTTTCTGAGTGTATGAAGAGCAAATCTTCTCTGCTGCTTCCATGGATTACCATTGGCTATCACAATACCTTTAGAGAACACAAATCAGCATTACAACAGAAGTATTTGGAGTCTGACCTGCTGGTCTCATTAAAAACACCAACTACCAACTTCTGAGACAAAATGCAAAAAATACTACCTTTAGTTCCAACCATTTCGTGAAACACTGGTATGGAGGGACGATCTGTGAAGTCGTCTCCTCGTTGGACCAGGGCTTCTTTCACAAGCTTGTAGCCATTAAGGACCACAATCCTTCCACCAAAGAGACGGAGGGTAAAAATGTTTCCATATTTCTCTGCAAACTGAACACAGACAGCAGATTGGTGTTTTGGTTAAAGATTTACCTGCCCAATGTGAGTGACTGTTAAGGGTAGGACTTCTGAGGGAAGATGTCCCTCGTGGGTATCACAGATTTTCAATACTCCAGTCTTCCTAATATTAGATTATTTGCCGTATTATCTAATACAGTAACATACTAGCCAGTTAACCAATTGTAAAAATTAAAGTATTATTATCTGTNACACAAAACAACCACAAAGAGACACAAAACCACCACAAAGAGACACAAAACAACCACAAAGAGACACAACACATCAATAATTTACTGAATTTATCAGTAAATTGGGATAAAAACCATAAACAATTGCAGGTAAAAATGATTAACTTCATGAGATTAGCTTGATAACTTCATTTCCCTTGAAGTCAGGATTTTAAGTCTCCTCCCCTGAATGGTTATCATTAGAAAAACCTCATTTTTGAAATTAAAAACTTGTGTTCTTAGTTATAATGGTAATTAATTATACAACACCTGAGAAATGCTTTAAAATAAAATAAAAATACAACTTGGAACAACTTATTTTTTTTATTAGTAATCAATCTAAAAACTTGAACTAATGCTGCCAAACTGTAAAATAACAGTTAAAGTTAATTTAACATGTTCCAGTCCTTAATACGTTTTCTTGCAAATAATGATGACAATGATTTAAACAACAGAAAAAGAATAATATAGCAGATATTCTTGACATATTACAAGATAAATGTAGCGGCACATAGTGATAGATAGTAAGTGGTTTATCGAGGTGTGGCACAGAGGCGATAAGGTTTGGGACAATGAGTGGCTCCCAGCTTGAACTCCAGACTGGGCTGCTCTCCAGCAGGTGCTGAGAATGAAAACCTCTGAAGAAGGGCGGTGAAAAAGAGGAATAACTCCATCCTGGCCAGTGGTTCTCCGAGACACATGCGCTTACCTGAAAATACACAATACAGCTTAAGTCACACTATTTGCAATATGTTTACTTAGATTGTAGATGATTTCGCCATTTCTAGACAAACTACTGAAACACTGCTCCGTACTAACCTGATAATATAAGAAATGTAAATAGTGACTTAAGCAAATAATGACACAGAATTATTGTCACCATTTTATCTCTTTAAAACCTTCGGCTAAGACAAAACACAACACGATTATAACGAGTGACTTACCTGCAGAAAAAGGAAGGAAGGCCTCTCTCTTCCTAAATTTACCGTCCTGGTCCAGAAAGTGCTGAGGGTTGAAGGAGTGTGGAGTTTCCCACATCGACNTTAGTAAATTTAAAAAGAAAACTACAGTTTATATATATATATAAACTAAAACTATAAAAGCATCCAGTGGTTTGTTAACACACTGGTAAAAATCTTACATTAAAAACCTGTCAAGGCTCAAATTAAGCATTTAAGATGAAAAACTGACAATTAAAACCGGACTTTTGGACTTTTTTTTCTTTTCTTTTTGCTCTTTTTGTCCCTGTATTCTCAATTTATTTAGAAATTTTCTACACATAAGTGAAATGAGATAAAAGAATCATATCACAGTAATAATATAACTGATGAACAAAAGTCCTGAAAAACTAAATTCAAGAAAAATTTTGTTTTATTTGTGCACTTGTTTCCTTAAAAAACTTGAATTTTAAGGTTTTTCTGCAGTTATCTGGTCATATCAGTCATCTTTATTAACTCCCTATCAACTCATATATTGGCGTCATTAAAACTTTGGATTAAAAACTGGATCTGTTAGCGTGACACTCTGGATGATAAGAGTCACTGTAGATGTTCATCAGCAGCTGTGAAGTGCCCTAATAATGCTGGAACTGCATGCAAATAGGCAGAACAGTAGCCGTCTCCAAGGCCAACCAGAATTCAGGTTTGGTCCCCAGAAGAATCAAAATTCAGGTTTGAATTTTTTTTGTGGGTTTTCAGTGTTTCAAGTGATTTTTGTGTTTTTGTGTGAAGTTAAAATTAAGGCTGTAGGACCCTCAGACAGGGTGGATCCCACCACACACCAGCACGTCATTGGCCCCCACAGTGTGTTAAAAACGGGAATGTGTGTGTGTGTGTGTGTGTGTAGTTTAGTTTTCGCTACAATGCCTCAGAGAAAGCAACCTAAAAAGGGAGTTAGATCTGCCGTCAAGCCCAGGCAGGCTCCCTCCAAAAAGGCAAACCCCAACCCAACTGGACCACCCAGGGCACAGGATGTGGTCCAGAGACAACAAGGCCAGCCAATGGAGGGAAACAACAACACGGGCCAGCGTCTTCACCAGCTGCTCGCTGAAAAGCAGCAGTTTCACCACTTGGCCAACAGCCAGAAGGCCAGAATCTCCAAGCTGGAGGAACTTCTGATGGCCCAGAACAGGCAGATAAAAGAGCTGCAAGAACAGCTGCAGCACAAGAACCAAGAAACGGTCAACCAGCAAGACCAGGCCTCCTCACAAAGCCAGGCTCCAGCCAAGACATGGGCTAGCGTGGTAAAAGGTGAGGACAAAGTCAGAGAGCAGCTCGTCCAGAGACTCAACCTGTCCTCCCCTCAAACCCAGGCTCCAGCTCCTACAAAGTGGTTAAAGGTGAGGACCAGGTCAAAGAGCAGCCCGTCCAAACAGTCGACCAGGCCTCCCCACTGACCCAGACTGTGCTTACGACATGGGACCACGTCCTGCGTTGTCAGAAAGAGGTCAGAGAGCAGCTGATGCTGAGAGACGATGCCATCTCAAGCCTCAAACTTGAAAATGAGCGTCTCTCTGCAATGCTGCAGCAAGATAAAAGCCTCCAGGGAGAAGACGAGCAAAAAGAGAAGGAGGTACTGAAGGTGGAAATCCAGGTGATGGAGGACAAAAACAAAAGATTCCAGGAAGATTACACCAAACTGCAGGAGTGTAACACTAAAGTCCAGGAAGATTTCACCAACCTGCAGGTTCATAACACCGGACTCCAGGACGACAAAAACAAAGTGGAAGAAAGGGCAAAAGAACTGGAGGAGCAGATTCATGTGATGCAGGAGAACAATCCTCTGAAGGAGGACATTTGCCGTATGGACACATACATTAATGAACTCCTTCAAGAAAAGGCCTGCTTCATTGACCAGACTCACGACAGCGACAGCCGAATCAAGAGTCTGGAGGACGAGCTGCTGAAAAACTCTGAGATTCAGACCAATGTTGAGTCTTTAAAGGAGCAGCTCTCCGTCAAAGACATCGAACTCCGTAGAGTCAGCGATGTCAACGAGGAGCTCTCTGCGAAGCTCTTACGTGCTGAGGAGAAGCTGGTGGAAATGAATGAGGAGCTCCATAAAATAGACGCCACCTGGAAAACTGAGCACAGCACCGCAGAGCAGCTCAGAAAAAATGTTGCCCGGCTCGAGCAGGAGATTCAAGAAATGCTCAAAAAGCTACAGCAGCATGAGGACAGCAACAAAGACCTGCTGCAGAAAGTCCAGGAGTATGAGCAAAAGACGGCGGAGAAGAAGAAAAAGAGCTGCTGGGGCTGGCTCAAGCCAAAGAAGAAGCGCGACAGGAAGATGGAGGAGGCTGCTGATTGTTCAGTGTAG